TATATAAAATATATATATATACACACATATATATAAATAAACCCCTTAATTTCTTAATGTTATATACACACACACACACACACACACACACACATATATGGTACATATAAAAACCTTTTATATATATGGTGGCATTTTAGAGGTCATTTTTCACTAGCTCAGAATTATATCTATCATTAGAAATATTTAACAGAAATATTTTTATTTGGTACTGTCTATCTTATGTAACCTAATTTTAATAATGTAAATGACTTAGGGGGATTTTTTTTTTTAATTTTCTGGTTAAGAAACAATTGAATCCTCAATGAAGAATAATCTCTATTAAATTATAAGGCCATTTTAATTAAATATGGATATTAATTCTCAATAAATTGGTCTAAGAGCAATATCCTCCTTAAATTATTGAAGACTCAGAAAATTAATAATGAGATTAATATTTATAAGAAATAAAGTTAAGCTTATAGTAAATATGCTATCAAAATTTGTGCTTTTATGTTCTTGTAAAACTCTTTATTATGATACTTTAATCATTTTATCCCAAGTTTGGTAAAGAAAAAGTAAACAAAATGTTTCTAATTACTAAAAATATATGTGCGAGTTTACCTGTTTGAAATGCTAGTTAAATTAAATTAAAATGTATTTAATTAAACTCTAGTATTTTAAGTCATGGTGCGCTTAGATTTGTAATACTTAAGATTATTAATCAAATCCTTAAAGTAAAATTATTGAGTAGTTTTAAAGAAATTTTTTGTTGAGAACCATGTATATTTATTTCATAAATATTAATAAACCATATTTTTTCATTTTCTATTGCAGTTTGGTTTATATTACGTAGCAAATTTCATTTTGGCATTAATGATGGAGAAAAAGTGTATGCTGTATTTTTTGTTTCTCTTACCTTTTTTTATGGTAAGCATAAACTTTTCGAACATATCTCCCTATGTATCATTATTTCTGTTTTAACTTCCAGTATATCTATAGTTGATAAAGGTGAATCACAGCAAGCTAACATGCAGTTATTTGATGCATAAATTAAGTACATTTTTATATCCAATCAACACAACGATAATTTATTTTTTTTCAGTTTATATTTTAAGGTTTTTTATCCCTTAGCAAGTTCTATGGTGGTGCAGTTGAGTAGAGAGATGTCAAAGTGAGGAAGATAAAAATACAAATATGCAAGACATCAGAGGAAAGTAATTATCAGAGTTTAAAAAGAAATAGAATGTCTTTATAGTATAGTCATACACAGTAGATAAAATATTTTCAACCAGACTTGATTCTGAGTTAGAACTATTAAAAATGCAGATTTTTCTCCCATTCTGCCAATTGATTGACTTATATTGATTAAAAAGCAATTCAGAACCATGCACTAAATTTTAAATTAATTTCTTCATTTATTCATTCAAATAAGTATCAAGTGTCCATTTTCTGGCAGACACTTATGCTAAGTTTGAGGCAAGTGTGTACATGAGCATGTATACTCATGCACATCTCTGCATGTCTATTCAGGGGATGTTGGGCTGGAGGTAGAGACTAAGGATGACTAAAATCAATTGCTATACTGAAGGGGACATATGTCTTATACATTTCATTTTTATTTACAGAAATATTTTGCTCATATTTTTCTGTCTTACATAAAAACCGTGACTGTCTCTTTTTATATGTAAGAGAAACTGAGAGAAATAATCTCATCTAATTCTGTGCCAGCAAATAATTTTCCTGTGGTGTTTTCCAAGCAAACCCCACAAAGATTCAAAGAAACTCAAGAAAAATATAGAAAACCTAAACTGGAAAAAAGCAAGGCTACATTCTTGTCAGCATTTGTATTTGAAAATTTTCAA